ATACTCTTCTGGTCTTGAAATGCCGCTGTTGTGGAAATGTCCCAGGCGTTTCACTTCAGAATGCGAGAACAGTTTTTTTTTTAAAGGAAAATTTGGGTGGGAGGGGAAGGAGGAAGATACAATGACTTCTACTTGGCTGGAATGAGAGATTAGCCTGAAATCAAAACTGTCTGTGCCGATATATTCAGGTTAGATGTAATTACCTCATGTGTTACAGAGAGATTAGAAAAATTCCTATAGAGTTGAGGAAAGGGTGGGTGTGAATGATCTCTTCAGGAAGCTCAAATCTGGTGCCATGTTCTAGACTAAAAACAGGCTGAAGAGTTTGTTAAAGAGCATCATTTATAAATTCTTACTTCTTCCTTTGTTGTTGTTGTTTCTTAGATCCCCCCTCCCCCCCATAACAGATGATCCTGTCTTTTCTTCCTTTCTCTTGCAATCAACAGCCATTGATGTCCAGCTTTGCAAATACCGATTGAAACCTTTGTACTCCTCCAGCTTTCGTTTGAAGAAGAGTCCTTTTTCATACCAAGGATATGGGCAAGTCTTGGAATCCAAGTCTAAAGTCTCAAATCCAAGTCACAAGTTCCTTTCTGAGGAATTCTGGGAGTTGTAGTCACAGTGGCCGCCATCTTGGAGTTGTGTGTCCTCCTCAGCTGACATAGAGGCCTCCTGTGCGCATGCATCTGGGCGCAGGGTCCTTGCTCCGAAATTAGGAGGAGCTCTGGAGCTGGGAGGGTGATTGTGGGGGTGCATTGCTCCATGTCCTCCCTGCTGCCTCCACCACAGAAGATGGGAAGGAGAGAGGGGGGCATCTGCTCGAGACACAACAATGCAGTGTGAGTCCTGCATCTCAAGCCCTGCTTCCTACTCACCCCCAGACATCCACACTTCTCTTGGGATTCAACCTCACCCTTCTTGGTATCTCAGCTTCTTCCAGCTGAATTGGCTTTGGTGGTCTGGTGGTTTTAAAAATTACAGGGAGCTCGTGTGAAAGATGCACACACAGAGAGTTAGGTGGAAGGGAGGGGGAAGCTTCTGCTGGATTTCAGCCCTCAGATATCCCAGCCAACATGGCCGAAACATTAAGGACTTGTGAGAGTTGTAGGTCAAAACACCTGGAGGACAACGAGTTACCCAACCCTGAAGTATGTTAAGTGGTTTGTTCCATTGGAGATGCAGATGTAACATGGTGACGTGATACAGTGTAAGTTACAGCACAGTGACATGGGCATTATGAAAATGGGACCAGTATTTCATGTACAAAACACAACACTTGGACATGTGAAAGAGACCTTTGCTCGTACAGTTAGGTACTTAAGAGCGGAGGTGTGCAGATTTGTATTTGTGGACTACACAAATTTGCACACCTTTGTTTCACAGTCAGAGGAGGCTAAGGACCCCAATTTTGGGAGGAATTCTGAATTCGTTCTGCGTTTTAGTTTGAATTTCACAAGTTGTCCAAAGTACAGAACCTATTTGGGGATTGAGGGCTTAGTACCTGGGATAGCTTCTGAAAAGTGCAGACTAAAGGGAATTTATGGAACCTCCCCCCTTCCTCAAAGTCATGATCCACCACTGTTCAGAGTGGAAAGGATTTCCCGGCTTAGCCTTCAGGGATCTGTAATACAAAGGCCTCAGATTTCATTGATAACCTCTCAGAGCAAAATTGGAGAACCTTTTTTTTTTTTTTTTGGCTTTGCTTTGCTTTTCTCTTGAGGGTTGCACCATCTCCTCAGGGTAATCTCTCTGGGCAGGGACAAAGACAGAAGTGGGTTTTCTCCTTTCTGTCATTTTCTTTCTCTCTACACTTCCTCAATGCAGAGATGGCACTTCCAGAGATCTGCCAAAGGCATTGGGAGAAGTAGTCCAAAATGTAACATCTCTAAGCTTGGTGTCCAAGCAGGACTGTTATGTGGCTTCAGTTGCAGAGGATGCCATGTTGGCTTTCCTGAGCAAACCTGAAGGATGATGGGAAACAAATATGATTAAAAGAAATAAGGGGGAATGTGAATTCATGACCTGAAGGCAGAGAGAGAGAGAGAGAGAGAGAGAGATGTTCCTTTCCTGCTCTTACAACACCTTTCTTTGAAGGAATGTGATCTCCTTCTTTGTGAGGGATTTTGTAGTTAGACATGAAAAGGAAGCCACTGTTTACACTGCATGTTTAATTCTGATACCACACACACTTCTCCTTTGAACGTGTTTCCCCAGTTATACCACCTGAGGGAGTATTCATCCTAAATATGGATCCTTTGTATTGTCTAGGGAGACAGTGAGATTTGAACTGGGGAGCATCCATCTTGTAACAGGAAAACGGCCCTGTGATGACTTCCTAAAGGAATGGAAGGATATGTAAAGAAACAAATTACATGTTCTTAGTACATCTGCAGAATTCTAGGCACAGCATCTCACACAGACAAGCAAATTTCTGTGTGCATTCTATTCAGTGCCTTTTTATGGCTTCAAATAAATTCCCATGCTTATTTAAACTGTGTTTCTGGCCCTCATGATCAATGGCTGTTTTCTTCTGATCTTTCTTTCTTTATTCATATCAGACCACTGCACAATTCAAAATTTTGGAGACACGTGAAATATAGGCAAAATCCAAAAGCAATTAAAATGTCAAGATTATTCTGGACCAGAAGCAGTCAGAGCTGCACAGAGATGTGTGCAGAAACATTTCCTTAACTTCAGCCATTGTCCAGGGGGTCGATGAAGTGGGTGGGCCTGGTGCGGTTCCAATGTGACACCTTCGGAAGTGAAGGATTTGCCGGTTGCAGGCTTTGCCCAGGGGATAACTGAGTGCACTCACAGTGCTTTTCCACTGTGGTGGAGTTGAAGCAGTGTGGAATATGCAGTCAGAGAAGTGTAAGATGGAGTTGGACAGGTTCTGTGTGGAGATGATTTGAGAAACATTGGAATGTGTTTTTCTAGGTGCTATGAGAGTGTTTTTCTGAAGACCGGTACAGCGTGGTTTGAGATAAAGCTGAAAGTCGGACAAAGAGGCCTGTGGAAGACTCAACATTCTGAGCTAATTGGAGAAGAGATAAAACACCTGGATTTTCATGGGAATTGAGGGCGGAGGAAGGAAGATATGGCAGCCCCTTGGGGCTGATAGGTTAACAGACATGAAGTGTCAAGAAGAAGGGAGGAGTTGGAGAATGTGAGTAATCAATGATAGGTTATGTGGGAGAAGTTTGATTCCATGATGATGGGAGAGAAAAAGAACTTTATGGATTTGAGCATGTGGCTTGAAGGAGAAAGAATATAAGTAAAGAGAAAGAAGGAGGTGGGGTTAGCCCACCTTAGCCCAGCTTAGTATTGTTTTTTTAAAATTTTTAATGGGGATTAGTTATTTTATTTAACTGTAATAATCTTTGAATATGTTCTTTGTGCTAAAGCTTGAGCAATATGCCCTGATTCTATGAAACTCTATTTTTCTAATAAAAATTAATTATAAAAATCCTTACAAAGGACTGGTCTCTTGAACAGCAGGGTCTGACTAAATCCAGGGAGTGGAGAGGGCCATACACTAGCTATCTTTAAGAGTCCGACCCTAACTGAGCTGTTGTGAGTTCTAAGGAATCACAAAGCCCATGTGTCTCTACTGTACTTGCAAAGTACTGGTTAAAAGTAAAGTGTTTTTTTAAGGCCAGACTTGTTCAAGGGGCTTACGCTACGCACTGCTGAAGTCTCGGGACTTGCCTTGGTGCAAAGGTGGTAGGTAAGTGGCCTGTGGAACTCTCTGACCGAGTGCTAAGTGCTCCTTAGGGAGACTTCAGCACCACATCCACTTTCTGAGGAGGCTCCTTCTATTTTCCCCCTTTCTTCTTATAAAAGCCAATATGGCAGTACTTTCATTCCTCTGTGGAGCTGCCGTGTTTCCCTGAAAATAAGACAGGGTCTTATATTAATTTTTGCTCCAAAAATGCATTAGGGCTTATTTTCAGGGGATGTTTTATTTTTTCATGTGCAACAGACTACATTTATTCAAAGACAGTCCTGTCATCTTCTTCTGGTTGTTGCACAATGGAGGGAGGGGTTTCACTTAACTGGGCCTTATTTTGGGGGTATGCCTTATATTACGAGCATCCTGAAGAATTATACTAGGGCTTATTTTTAGGTTAGGTCTTATTTTAGGGGAAACAGGGTACTAGCCAGCATGAAAGGGACCAGCAGATGTCAGTAGCAGTCTTTCCTGGAGGCCCTGCTTGAATTGCCTGAGGTGGCATTCTGTCTTCCTCCTACTTTGCTGTGTGATCCATATCTCCATGGAGAGGAAAGCAGTCGCTTTCTAAGTTTAGCTTTCCCCTTGCTTAGTATTCCCTGCACATGTCTTGCAGTGAAGGGCTACAGATAGAACAGTAAAACTTGCTGATGCTCCTCTCCCAGGCCCTAATGAGGCTAGCCTTATGAACTGAAGGGAAGTTGGCTCGTTCAGCACAACTTGTTAAAAGTCCCAAACCGTCATTATTGCATTTGATCCAATTAAGACTCACGTGCACTCCAGGTACTTCAAGTAAGTTGGAGCATGTGGCTGCAGAGCCAGAGGTAGGATGTTTGATCCCTCGTTTTGCCTCCCAGCAGAAGACGACCCAGCCTGTATAAGCTGCAAGAGTAGCAGAGCTCAACAAGGAGGAGGACCTGGTAAATGAATTCTGTGTACTTTCGGTCCTGACAACCCTTGGAATGGTCACTGTAAATTGGAATCAACTTGACAGCACATGGAGATAATTGATGACAGCCAGTATGGTGTGCCCCTTAATTTGCACAGCCCTCTCCCAGCTCCTGAGAATTTATGCTTATCAGACCTTTGAATGACATGTCTACGAGTATAGTCTATATCCAGCTCTTTCATATGCTGTAGAATGATGGAGCTGGACACAAGTCATACAACTGATCATGTACACCCAAAAAGATGGCTGTAAGCATGCAAACAGTCCATCATGGGCTAATCATACTACCTCTCAGAGCTTGAGGTCAGTGTTGGTGCTTCAATTTGGACAGGTTTCTGAGGGCTAAAAGGCATGCTCAAGAAAATGCATCTTTCCTGCTGTTCCGTGTTTTCTCCCCAAAGCTCCATTCGCATGAGAGAGGTAAAAAGCAAATGACTGTGGCCTGGGATGGGGTGGAGTGAGAACAGATAGTAGCGTCCTTCTCAGTGATGTGGTAGACGGCAGGATTTTTACTTCAGGTGCCCTTCTAACAACTTCTCAAAGGCCAGCAGGCAGTGAGATTTGCGCCACCTCAATGAAAAAGGAAAGCTAGAGAGACAGGAGGAAAGAAAGATAGATAGACCTTAGCACACTAATTCTAGCCTGCCCACTCAAAGCCCATGCAAGAAGATACAAGCATTCATCCACAGCCACACACAACACATTCAGTTCTAGTAGTACTAAACTAAGGGTGTGATCATACAGGGAAATAGTTTGCATTTTGGACTGCTTGTGACACAGTGTGATGCCAGCTATTTCCTGGTGATCACACAGCCTGACTTCCACCCATAACCTAGCTGGGCCTTTTTGGTCCAGCAACAGGGCTACTCTTTTTTTTGGGAGGGGGGACTGGGCTGGGCTGGAGCAATTCCCACAGGGATGGAAGGCAGGTTGCTTTCCAGCAAGACAGTTCTTTTCAATATGATCACATGTGATCCTTCCTTGCATCTGATCACACCCTAAGCTAGATAAGAAAGAAAACAAAAGTCCAGAACACAAATCCTAGCTAGCGACGATGACCCAAAGATTCCCTTTGCCCTACCCCTAGTATACAAAATGGCTGGCAGAGCAGGCGCAAGGGAACAGATAGTGCAGCAACCTCCATCTCATCCATCCCTAGAGCTTCAGTGGCTGGGATGTCTAGGGGAGATCTTGGACTTCCTTGGACGGGTGGCTCAGTTACCATTCATCTTCTCTGTTAGCACCCACAGCTCTTTTTTCTCCTTCCAGTTTCCCTCGTCTCCGTGCAGGTTGTTGGGCATCTTCAGTTAAAAACAACAATGTTTAAACCCCACAAATGTGGGAGGCAGCGTGTAGGATCCATGGCATTGTTGCTCTACCTTCAGGGTAACCAGTGGCACTTTGCTGTGCTCTACTGTATATCCACCCCAGGATCAAACCAGCACCCCTCTTTCAGTCACATTTCTGCACATGTGCCCAAAGACACTGCCCATCCCTAGACTAAGCAGGCACAGAGTTCGCTAAAGATTATGGGACATGTTTTCTCAGCAGGATGATCCTTTCAGCATCTTTGTACTAATGTAAGTGCTCACATAGATAAAGAAATGGGGGTGTTTAAACTTTGTTTAAAGGGTTTCTCACTTTTTCATCCAATACTGAAGAATACCTAACTAAAGTTGCAATCAGATGGCTGCAAAATTTGGTGCCTCGATCACCTTGGAAAGAGTCACTTTTGAGGGAGCAATCCCTCAAAAAGTGCTCCTTCCATCTGCAAGGGAATCACACACACCAGCCCAAATGACACGAATTAGAGCACCTTTCGTCAGGTGACCTCCAGGGAAAAGGTCCCACACTGGGCCACTCCACAAGTGTTCCAAAATGCAAACTGTTTCCCTACGGGATCACACCCTAACATATAATTTTTTCACTCATCTGGATTTTCACTCTCATTTTGACCAGATTGATTATTGCTGTGACTGACAAGTCAAAGAGACAGACAAATGTCCCAAGACAGCAAGTGCAAACTGAGCTGAAACAGAATTCACTTCCTTGACCCAAATTCATCTCCTGTATCTATTCGTATATGTGGAAATTGCTGCAGAAGTACACAACCAAAGTAGCTGACTGGTGAGCTTTCAGCACAGTGCTATGCACGCTTAGTGAAAAGTAAATAAAATAAGAGTTTCATGGGCCATTCTCCCAACTATTTATGCTTAAAGGATGGCTTAGATGAGACACCAGTTTCTCAGTTAGAAAGGGTTGTCCTCCAAAAATGCAGGCTTTCAAAGCTGCCAGATTTGCACAAAGATCAAGTGACTTATGGTCACTCCATAGGAAGCCCGTTATTATCTCCTGTTAACAAATCACCAAAGAAAAGCAAGCAAATTTGCAGCTTGCAGAGATGGGATATCATGAATTAGGAGGGACAAATGCACGTGACCTCTTAAGAGAGCTCTGCTGGCTAATGAAATTTCCTCAGGCATTTCTCTGCTTTGGCCCTTGGTTTCAGGTCTAGTGCAAGACTTTTTGCGGTCTAGAGTAAAAAAACAAGATGGTGGTCCTCTGGCATTCTAAGCGAATCTCCTTGCAGCATGGTTGGTGATGAGACGGTCTCCTCCACGACTCGCTGAAGATTAACTTAGTGAATAAAGGGTAAGCCATACACCCCTCCCACTCCTCTTTCCTTTATCACCTCCTGTTCTGCCTCCCAGGAGCTACTGCCTAAGGACTGCCTCATTTTGCCATGGGTAGCACCAACTTTGCTAGGACTGCAGTTAAATAAACCCAGCAGTGCTTATTTCCATGGAGCAAGACCACAGGGGGCTTCCAGATGTTGTTAAACTGCAGTTCCCACAGTTGCTCAGCCCCAGGGGTTGATTGCAGCTGTCAGCTACCATAATGAATCTGGAGGGCTATAGGTTGCCCAATCCTGGTTAAGAGAGAATTAAAGGTATCTGGCTACGGAGCCATTGGTTGGGAGTTCAATTCCCTACTATGCCTCCTGAGAGAAGAACCAGCCTGTACAGCGCCAGGCAAGCCGCACTCTCCCAGGAAGTGTGCAGAAGAAGGGAATGGTAAACTGCTTTTCAGTATTTTATAACTAGGAAACCCTGGAAAGGGACACCTTAAGTCGGAACTGACTTTACAGCACACCATCATTACTGTTAAGTACATGCAAATATTATCCTTTCCATAGAACAGAAAGCACTGGTTTTGGTTTAGGAAAAGGGAGCAAAAGGTGATACTCGTGTGTAACTGGACCCAGAACTCACTGCTGTGAAATAGGATCTCGGGATCATGACTAGGCCCAGCTCTATAGCAGCAGTAGTAATTGTGATGCAATTCCTCTCAACATGGTTTCCTGACACATAATTTAAAAGCCTTTAGGTTAGCCTTCACTTAGTTTCTATGCATGGCTGAATCTCATTTTCCTCCAATATAAACCAATCATCATGAACACAAACCTCAGGTGTTATAAATTGATGATTTTACAGTGGCAGATCATGTTGCCAATACAGTATGTAATGAATTAAATGCTGCAAAGGTCAGTTGGTAGTGGAACGCTTCCCACCCGCAGGTGAAATGAAGCTTGCCATGACATTAGGAAAAAAAATGCATAGCCTAAAACCATACCTTGGCTGGCAGAACCTGCAGCCGAGAAAGCCCTCTGTGGTCTCGGCAGAGATCCTTCTTTACTCTCTATTGAATCTGAAATCTTTCTGAACTGGAGAAGAAGGAGGATCATGTTTGTGGCCTGCTGTGTGCTCCGATCTTTAGCTCCCTGGGGATAAAACAGTAGCTTTTCAAAAGAGAACCCCCACTAGAAATTGTAATTTGATTGATTCGTTCTTTGATTGATTGCTCACTGTGCCTAAATGACATCTCACCTTCAGTCAGCTCACAACAGAGTACGTGGCTGTCCTCAGAACAATTCTGTGAGGTGAGTGAAGCTGATCGAGATTGACTGGGCAGACTTGTGTCTTTGAGTCTAAAACCTGGATTTTTACAGTGCCTTGACCACTACACCGCACTGCCTCTGGATGGCTAGCTGAAACTGGGCACTCCATTGGTAATTCAGTGTGTTCACCTCTTGAAAGCCATTATGCAATATTGAGTCACACTGCGGTGTGTGACCAAGAGGATGTGATGCAAAGTGTCCATTATTGGGGGTGGTTTTGTTTGTTTTTCCTTCAAAGTGTCTGCAGAGGCCTGTGGTTTTATTTGGAACAGCAGGATTGGGTGAGGAATGTTGAAGCCTTTTCCCCCTGCGCTCTTATCCTGATCTGTGTCCCCAGCATTTTGCAAGTTCTGCTCCCAAGGTCCATGCTCCAGAGAGAGGTATGTTAATCCAAAGCACACAATGATGATGCAACCAGCTCTCCCAGTTCTGGTGGGTCACGCTCCGTGGAAGACAGTCCATTAGGGAAAGGGGGAACCCTGCCTCTCCTGCCTGGTGGCAAGAACATAAGGATGTACATCTTTACTTCTTTTGGCCTAATAGGTGACACTGAAAACATTCAGAAGTTCCCTCCCTGAGAGGTGAGACTCTTTGTACGGTCTGTGTGCGTTAAAGTAATAAAAATAAATTAAGGTCTGAAAGCACCTTTGCCTGTTGTCTCCTGCAGCTATCCATCAACAGGGGTCATGGTGTGAAAGGCAGCTGAGAAGATGTAGCCACATCCTCCACACAGCTGGCCTTTCCCCCCCCACCACCCAGAATTACCTCAGGGTGTGATCAGATGGCGAGAAAGGATCACGCCTGATCCCATTGCAAAAGGGTTGCTTGGCTGGGGGGTTATCTCCCTTAGAGCAACCCTTCTGTCTGTGCAGGAATTGCCACAGCCTGTTCCCCACCCCAAGCCATGTTGCTGGGCCAAAAAGGCATGGTGGGGGCTTGGACTGGATCACCCCTGCCCGTATGACATGTGATCACCGGGAAATAACCCCATAGGACCTCACCACAAGCAGTCCAATATGTGAGCTGTTTCCTCATCTGATATCTCCCTTGGGCTTTTGACTCTGCAGGCACACACTCCCTGGCTGTGGTCCTTCCTCTTCTCTGCACATCTTGGAAAATTTCCTCTCTCTTTTTGTATTGACCACTCTAGGATCCCCAGTCAGCATGAGCTGAGAGCTGCAGTGTGAAAGAGTAACAATTCCTGGCTCTCTTTTTTGCTTGTATTCTGGGAAGAAACAAGCCGATGGATGATCTTGTCTCCTAATGGAAGAAAGTTCATCTAACGCCTTTCAGCCCTTTCTGACTTGCCCAGGTTTGACTTCTCTTCCCCTACAGTCTCCTAACCTCCAGTTTTATAATTCAGGCCATTAAAATGGAATTACTGTTTTACAAAAGAGTTCATTTGACATCTTAATGAGAATGAACTGCTCTTCAGCTAGGATGCAGTTCTACCAATTCGTAGAGGGAAGCAAACCCTTAGGCATAGGGTGTCTGGGTCTCCAGGCACCCTTTAAAATTTCAGGGGGATTCCTATGTCTTTCTGGATCTCCAACTGAGGACATGAATCTCAAGCTGAACGTACCTGGAGGAGAAAGTTGACTGTGTGTGTCCTCTTTAAAGACTTAGCAACCACCTCCTTCCTGCTCCCAAGAGGCATCCGGGCCCACTTAACAAATCTTCCCGTGTGCATAGTCTTTGTTTAGAAAGCAATGAACGAAATCTACACGATTTGTCTCACTCTTTCATGCACAGAGACATACTGACTCAAGCCTCCACCCTTTGTGAGATGCAAAGTGTCTGCCTTCTGTGACTTCACAGGGTCCTGGCTCCTCATCGCTGGTTTTAGTCCTGAAATCTCAGGGAATGGAAAGACAATGACCTGGAAATCCCACCCAAGCCACTGATTTGAGGGTGTCTTGAAATAACAAATGATAATGTTATTCTCCTTCTATCTCCTGCCAGGTGAGAGGTAATAGTGGTGAGAGTCAAAGAAATGCATAGCTAGAAAGGACCCTAAAGGTCCTTGAGTCCAACTCTCACTGAAGGGTGCAATCCATAGCTAAATCACCTGTGACAGGTGGCCATTGAACCAGGTTTTTCCTTTGGTGTGGTGAGCCCAATGTGGCCTTCACTAAGAATCCTCATTCCGTACTCTGCATCTCTTCAGGGCTCCCAAACTCCCAAAGTCCAAGGGCCAGCCATTGAGCACGTCATTCACACCCAACCCCTTCCTCCGCAGGAGCAACGCAATAGGATGGCTTCTCACTGGACCCAATGGAATGAGCATCATCAGCAGTTTCATACAGAGCTTCTGGGATCATGTTGTCCAGCTTTCTTTTACCAATTTTGGGTCTGTCCTGCTTCTGTCAGCAATTTCAAGTATTCCTAGGAAAATAAGATGGCTGGTGCTGTTAAAGGGTCAGTGTTACTGACCAGTCCCACAAGAGTACTGTGTGATTGTACATCTTTATCCTGTTATCAAGGGATGCTGGCTTTTCCTTTTGGGTAAACCAGGGGGCTTCCCCCTTTCCTTAGAGCAGGTATGAGGTTTGTGCAGACATACCTACATTGCTGTCAGTGGGTCAAGGACAGGACTTGTCCAGGGACAAATCAGGCTTTGGGAATAAAGATTATAAATCATTCTCCCCTTTAAAAAAAAAAAAAGGAAATATGCCGTGGATAGGAAAGTCTATTCTTTTTGCTTTCTTCCACATCCAAATTTTGGAAGTGTTGGTAGATTCTGATTATTATTATTATTATTTAAAGAACTTAAAAAGAAAATCTCACCCATTTCTAAATTGAAGTGTATGACTAGCAGCTGATGAACACAGAAGGCTCTTAGATACTTTTCCTCTCATGGCGGGGTGATGCATCATCATTTTCTCTGCAGGTGATTTTCTTCCTCTGTCACTGCTTAAAGAAAATAAGCTTTCCCCTTCTTTTATTCCCAACCTTTAATCTTGAAAAATACTTTTAAAACCCACCTAATCAAACTGATGGCAATGAAGCCATTTATCATCTTAATGTTCAGGAAATTGGTCTAGATGGCTAAGCAGAATTTGAACTTCAATCAAAAAAAAAAAGAGAAAAAGAAAAAAAGGAAGGAAGGTAGAAGAAAGTCGCCCCCGAGTGTCCTAGAACATCAAAGCCTACATTCTTGGCTTTTGTGACCCAGCCTACATCCTTTTATTTCCAGGACCATCATTTCAGTTCTTGAGTTAAGAAGGTCATGTCTATCTACCTGATAGCAGAGGCCTGCTCCAGCTTGGATGCCGGATGACCACGCTAATCTGCAAACCCTCTTAGGAGTGATTTAGCACTATATTTCATATAAAACGGTATTTTAAGGGAAAAGAAGGTTTTATGGGGAGCATTGACTCCCATATCGTAGTTCAAAGTTGCCTGACACTCTTGAAAAACAGGCTCCATATACAAATATGTGTGTGCTTGAAATAAATATTGTACTCATTAATTTCTCTCACACTTCTACTTTTTTAAAAAATAAAGCACTCAAGGTGGCTAATGCCATCATGACACAAAATATTTCCCCTTCTAGAAGAAGAAAAAATTCATTCAGCTTCCTCCACGGTTGAGTTCAATTGTGACTTCTAAGAAGAAGAAAAAAGACGTGTAAGGAAATGGCCTCTCCATCTCATGGAACCTCTTGACACTCTGCAGAGGGAAGGCACAATCTGAGGCCCCTAGAAAGTTAACAGTCTCCTCCCCTCCAAATTATGGTATAGCATTCAGAGTGTTGGACAAGGACTCCAGAGACTTGTGTTCAGACCATGCCACCCCCATTTTGCTGGGAAGCTCACCAGGTAATTTTCAGCCAGTCACAGACTGTCAGCCTGAACTTTAATCTTACATGGTCATGGTGAGGGTACAGTGGAGAGCAGGAAAGCTTTGCGGTTTCTGGAGAAAAGTGTGAAAAAACTGATAGGAGTGCATATATTTATTTTTAACCAAATCACTTCCAAGCTCTGTGGGGAAGCTGTTTTAGCTTTTGGAAAGCAGTTAATGTGCATCTGACTTATGTTGTGGCAAATATTCTACCACTCAACCAGAAGTCTTGTTTAATTTAACAGGACAGGCATGCACAGGATTGCACTGGTACTGCTGAATATATACTGCTGTGCAGGTCTATTCAGAAGGGAGTCTTTCAACTGGACGTATACCTTTGGCCCCTGACTGGGAGAGGGAATTCCTTAACAGCTGAAAGCATCTAATTGCACAGCAGAGTGTATCTTATCTCACACAATTAACACATTAGTTTCCTTCGTTTCATGATTTAAGCACAGAAGGCCTTTGAATTCTGATTTCTCCAATAGGAAAGACTGCCTGAATCAGAGCTGTCCAATGATGATGGGTTTTCACCTCCAATCATGAGGTTTTTTTTATCATGCCTGCTTCTGTCATAAGGTTCATTAGGAACGAGAAAAGAGTCTATGGTTAGTGGTCTTCATTGGTTATTGTATTTCATACAGAATCCTCAGTGTGTTTGGATCATAGCTGGGAAATAATTAATTGTAACTTTTAAGTACTTAGCCTGCAATGAGTTTTGATTAATGAGTATTATGAAGTGTACTTACAAAGTTACAGTTAAAGTAATCCAACAAGTAGTTAGGTTTATCTAATATGTTTTCTTGTAACTTTCATAAATTGCTTTTCCACAATATTATAAAGCGTTTTACAGCCATTTTGACAATAACTTTTCAGATGCAGTGCCATTTTCTTAAATGGCAAGGGAAGTGCATTTTGGGGCTTCTTGGTTGTTTTGTTAGTATTTACAAAGTGCAGTATTAGAATTGGCCACAAGAGAACATTTTCCTTTATTTTTCTGTATCAGCAACTAGTATCTCAACAAAGTATTTGTATGACTGTGACTGTAACAATACTCATGTGCTGTCAAGTCAATTCTGACTTCAGGGTTCTCAAGGTAGATAATACTCAGAGGTGGTTTACCATGCCCTTCTTCCAGGGGACACCCTGGGACTGTGCAGCTGGCCCAAGGCCACACAGGCTGGCTCTACTCACAGAAGGCCCAGTGGGGAATCGAACTCCCAACCTCTGGCTTTTCAGCCAGATATCTAAACCACTGAGCTATCCAGCTTGACTGGGATAACCATAGGAATGAGTAATGCTATTGGTTCATTAAAAACAAACAAATACTCATAACGTTCTAAGCTCTGGTCGGAATTGGAATAATGAATTACAGTCTGTGATAAGAGGACCAAGCATTTTTGCGTGTGTCTCTGTTTGTGTGCTTCTTCACGTATGGCTGTGTTTGTGTATAAATCCATTTGCTATGTGACATCTTAGTTCTGAAAAATCTAAATATATGGTTCGTAAATAGAAAGGACGGGAAGCTTGCTGTGGACATCAGAAATGCATTCCCAACCATTATTTACTTTTGGTGTTGGTAAAAGCAGCCCTAATTCCATTGAGCTCACCCAGAAAGGGAGCAACTGGGAGATGAACTTCTCTTAATGACAGCCCCTGTTACTGTAATGGTTCTCAGATCCTTTGTCTCCTCATTTACCATGCCAAGCTGCCACAGAAATGAGTTCACTTGGAAGGTAAGTCAATAGCTCTGAAGCTTCCAACCCTTATCAGCAGGGCTGAGAATGTTATCTGTATTTGCACTGCCGGTCAGCTGCAAAGGCCTTGTACAATCCAGCCATAACATTTATCTGGAGGCTGGCATTTCATATGAACGGTAGAAATATCACTGTTTGCCCTGTCCCAGAGAGCTGAAATTAATATGAACAAAACTTCCATGGGAATTCTCTGGGACCAACTGTTTCTGACACACAGTGATAGCATTTTTGCCATTATTGTCTCAAAAATGTGCTAGCCTGGGAAAAGTGTTTCACATAGGTCTCTCCCTGATCTAGCCAAGAGAGCCATGTTGTATGCATAGGAAGTGTGTTTCCAGCCTTCTATCATTCCAAGGTTGGTAAAATGAGTACCCAGCTTGCTGGGGGGGGGCAGTGTGTAGCCTGCATAATTAACTTTTAAACCACATTGAGAGTACTTTAAGCACTATGGAATGGCCTATGCGCAACACACTTTCCCCCCATGTGCACATCTTCCACAGAATTGGCCAGATGGAGAATTATGTACCTAATAGAGATGTGAAGAAAACTGGCTAAATGTCCTATATTCTTTCACTTGACAAAACACAGAAGATTTTTTTTCAAACACCTCCATGTTGTTCACTTCTAATCTAGAGTCAGACAAGCTGTCCCCAATTTTACATGACCAATATTTATGCAAAGTTTCTTAAGAAGCAACACATACTCACTTGAGCACGTGAACACACACACACACACATAGATCAAGCACAGAAGGACCGAGTGATTTGTTGAGAAAGATGCAAACTACTCATTCAATGCTTCACATTGATAAATGTCCATGAAATAAAGTTGTCCTAGTTTCACACAAATTTATACAAATCACACAATTTTGCACAAAAAGGGGCAATTTGCTCAAAACATGATTATCATGTTCCAAGTTCCTAAATATTCCCTGCCAACCTGACTGGTGAGGAGAACGATGGAGAAATGCTTCACCCACACTTCCAAGGGCGAAACACACACGGATTCACAACCCTTGTACCTAAACAGGGACCTTCGGTGTTGCTTCACAACTCAATCTGCAGCAAGTTTATTTCATAGCCATAGATAATATTACCAGCTTACAAATACTCTGCTGAAGAAGTCTGAAACAAAGCTTCAGTATGACTGTGACATGGTCTAAA